TAAGACTTAGGCGTAAAAAGCAATTGCTGCTTGCTGCTAAAAGTGTTACCTTAAATACACTCCCGGGCAAATAATTTGGGCCTTCTTGCGTTTTTATTTTTAAATGGTTAGGATAAGTGGAAGTTTTAAGTTTAAGTAGAAATTTTTTTAGTTTTTGACAATTTTCTGCAAAGGCTACGGGAAATGACGTTCGGAAAATGATACTGTAACTATAAGAGATTCCACACACTAGCGTCTTTCGAACGTGAGCGTCTTGCCAACACACGCACAGTGTCGACATGACGTCCAAGCGGCGGCGACACTGAGCGTTTACTTTGAGTATACGTCGCGCTGGCGCTGAGTCGCGGTCGTGTCGACCTTGTATGTATGATATGTGTATGTACGAACTTATGTTTAGTTTGCTTCCCACTTATAAGTCTGTGAATATACCATAGACTATGAAACAATTTCTTCGAATCTAAAACGCGTATATTTGTTTATTCAAACAAACCAACGTTTTGGTCCTACTATATTTCGACCCCTCCTATGTAAAGTATCGTATGTCGAAATTGCCAAGTTTACAGGGAAGCGTTTTAAAATTTTGAATTCACTGCAATGAGCATAACACGTGACTCTATTTCTCAGTTTTATTCGGCAAAACTCAAACAGAGTATTATAAAATCTTAGATATCGGTTAGATGAACAACCACAATTTATTTTATTATTTTACAATTTAATTTAGCATTTCTATGCCAAAGTCACGTGTTGTACTCATTTCAGTGAATTCAAAACTTAACGCTTCCCTGTAAAATTGGCAATTTCGACATACGATACTTTACGTAGGAAGAGTCGATTTCACGGCTGACCGTGGGACATGTCGGGGGCCTGAAAATTAAGCGTATCACTCCACAAACCTTTGCTTTCTTGTGAAGTACTGCCACCTTACCTATTTCTGACAAAGCGGTGTGAGCATTACTGTATTATTGATTATTGCGATTGCAGGCTCATGGGACTTTTCAACATAAGTCTCAGGGTGACAGGCGCCGTGGCAGTGCCCTTCAGATCTTTGCGTTTTAAAGCTCTGAGCGGCACTGCAACCTGTTATGGACAGGCATGTCGCTTAGCACCAGGCGCACGACTTGTTCGTCCAGTCACTTGGTATCATAATTAAAAAAATCAAACCAAAAAGTCTCTTACTACAGACAATACAAATAATGGGTCGGCATCATATTGGACTATATTTTTATTTAAGTGTCTTTTTTTAATTTTTTTTTAAATAATAACGCACACACTCAACATAGCCCCGCACTAGTGAAATCCTGCGTCGCGGCTGCTATGGACACACAAATAGACAACCACAAATCACACCCAAACTCACGAGAGAAACAAATTTAGGCCATATAAATATTTCTCCCGGCCCAGGAATCGAACCTGAGACCTCTGCGTGGCAGTTCGGCATGGTAACCGTTCGGCCACGGAGGCAGTCAGAGTCTTGTAAATACCATTTACAACTTGCGAAGGATACTACCCAGGGAGAAGTTGAAACTGAAGATTTACCTAAATCTGTTGTCTACGATGGAACGTCTCATCAAGTCACGCCTTCATGAAGAACCTCTAAAGGACACAGGAGTAAACAATGCAAAGTAGCCATATACGCATAAATTTGTTTTTGACAGATTTAAAACAATGTTTCTTTGTTACATCCACGTAAATCGTTCAATAAAATCATATATTTAGTCCACAATATATAGATAACAGTTGGTTTGTTTGAAAAAAAAAAACAATACACGCGATTTAAATATAAAAAATGTTTCATTTCTTATGTATAGCAATCGTGAATACCTAATAATTAGATATAAACTTTCATAGATTTCTCACAGATGGCGCTACGACAGAAATGTCATTAAAACCAAAAGCAAAAATGTGCAACAAGCACATAACAGTAATTCGTAAGATCGGCTGGTTCGTTCCGTAACTCAGTTGGAAGAAGCGTCAGCCTTGTAATTTTAAGTTTAGTTTTTTCTATCTAATTTCGGTGGCAATTTTATTATTTATGTTTTCGACAATGTTATTGTGAAATATTAAGTAATATTTCATGATATTTTTTAAATTACTTCTCTACAAGGTTGGCGGCCGTCATGGCTATCCTCATTTTTGAAGCTGCCACGCGAAAGATGGAACGGATTCCTTGGATTTGCCCCTGCATTATTAGTTGAAGAATCGGCATCTATTGCCCCTCAGTAAGTGGACATAATACTGCAGCTTTCTATACAGTTCTGAGTATATTCAACTTGTTCCCCATTCGACGTAGAACTTCAACATGGGTGACCCTTCGGATCCAAGATATGCTAAGCTTACGTCATAATATATAATAACACTTCATCATAACACTCTAGAATTTTCAAATAATAAAAATTGCCATCAAAATTAGGTAGAGAAAACTAACCTGATAGCTACACAGACACGGTACGGCGAGGTCACTGGCTCGACTACAGCCGAATCCAAGGATTTTTTCTTCGTGCTCGACCTTTGCATTAATAATAACAGACTAGATATGTTTATTATACCAGTTTAAGCTCAACAAACATTGTTAAAGCTGAAGGCATTTAATGGTGAAAATGTAGGGTGGCTCGATTTATTTGTCCGGGAGTGTAATACGTCAAATGATTCTTCTTTTCAACTATATCAATATAATAATTATACATAGTCTCTGAAATAAATAATAAATTAAATAAAGCTTTCGTAGGAATTTTTTGCATTAGAATAATAACAAAACATAATCATTCCATATACGTTATTACACCTTAGTTTTAAAACTTAGTAACTAATATAAAGACAGTAATACTGGTAACATTAAGCGCCCGTGCACAGGGTAAAGATTCGTTAAAAAAGTCGACACCGAAATCGACAAAAAAAAAATTATAATTTAATTAGTCCAGCACTGTACTATCAGGAACCGACGAGAAGTCATGGCGAACTAGACCCGTTCCTTACAGGAAACCCGTATCCAGAAGTGGGTCGCATAAAAGGTTGTGGAACAATTTCTTTTTTAATAATTATAACAAATCTTTGCTTTACTTTCTCAAACGTATCGTAACATATCGTATCTTAAAGCACAAAGTTATTGGAATGCAAAAAAAATATTGTATATACAAATCGACCCCTCCTACGTAAAGTATCGTATGTCGAAATTGCCAAGTTTACAGGGAAGCGTTTTAAAGTTCTGTTTTATTCGGCAAAGCTCGTTACTCAAATAGAGTGATCATCTAACCGATATCTAGGATTTTATAATACTCTATGTGAGTAGCGAGCTTTGTCGAATAAAACTGAGAAATGCTAAAGTCACGTGTTGTGCTTATTTCAGTGAATTCAGAATATTTAAAACGCTCCTCTGTAAACTTGGCAATTTCGACATACGATACTTTACGTCGGAGGGGTCGAAATATCGCAGGATGATTTCACGTCACATTTCCTTCATATTCACACACCGGCTTTTACCTATTCTTAAAGTAATGCATTCAAATTAACCCCTTGATAAGAAATTTAAAATAAATAGAAAGCTTTGCCATCACCTGAATAATCACACTTTATAAGATACGAGTTCGAGAAAGTAAGGCATTGAAATGTCAATTTGATTTTGCTTATCAATAAAACTGAAACTAAATAAGATGTAAAGAAACCCCTTATAGGGGGTTGCAGGTATCGTTTCGCTGGTTTCAGATAATGTTAATAACTCAATTTAGCTAAAAATGTCGATTACGACCATTGACATATAAAAACTGTACATGGCGACACTAGGATAAAAAAATTGAATCTCAAAAATTTGAGTTATGTCTAACTAAGTAAGAAGTATGAAATATAAAAAAATGCCAATCTGTTTAAACAACATTTTAGGAATGTTCAATTAAAATATATTTACAATTATAATAGTTTGTGACAACAGTAAACTGTCGTTGAAAAGATTACAAACCCAAGGTTTCTCAATGGTATGCTTTTTGATTTGTTAGTTTGCAATAAATTATATAGATGGCATTGCTCAGAAATTATTCTCGAAAGTAACCAACGTTTTAGACTTCTACTCTAAAATATAAAAAATACAGACTCGGCATCTTTGCGATTTTATTATATATATTCTTGTATATATAATCAACACTTGACCAAGAGCAATAACTTCGACAAAAATATAATACCTGCCATCTGTTGGCCTTTTTGAATATTAGTACTTGGTGCCATCTATTGATCAGATTTAAGAATCAACATAAGCGTCCGAATAAGTGGAGTTACCAGTGCGACATTTCTTTGTCTGAGATTGGGTATCTGTACTGGTGTAATATTATATTATCTGTCATGATAAGGGTAGAACTGTTAAGCGTGTCGCTTATCACGTCGGCCCGTCACTCGGAATCATTTACGGTATTTTAAAATAAGTTATGGACCTTTGCCACGGCTTATAACCAATATGGTCGGAAAAAGGAGTTCCACATATAAAATACATGTAAAGAAGTAGCTACAAGGAGCGACATAGAGTTGTTAAAACCACCAAATATTAATTAATTACTTCTTCGAATTCGGGATTACCGGAAATGGCTTTTCTGCATCGTTGGACAAAACTACTGACCTAGGAAATCGAAGTTGGATTTTATAGTAATTCTAATCGTGTCACGTAAAAACATGCAGTAGATGACGAACCTTTTACCAAAGTAGAGAGTAAGAAAGTAACGAGAATGGTCACTCTGTGCCCCTCCCTAGCTTTAGATAATGCACCGCGCCCCGCATATTGAAGGACACATGGACGGAACGGCAACAAGGCCGTCAGTTATCTAGCGCATTTTTAACATGGCACCATTAGAATTACTTTAAAATCCAACTTCGACTTCCTAGGTTAGTAGTTAGTCCTACGATGCAGTAAAACCATTTTCAGAAATCCGGAATTCGAAAAAGTAATTTATTAATATTTGGTAGTTTTAACAACTACATGTCGCTCTTTGTAGCTATATCTATACATGTGTCTATATAATGTGGAACATTTTTTGCAACCATGGCTTGTAACAATCACATTGCTTTTATGATGAAATTGAAAAAACTGTCATGTCTACATTTGGAAGCAATATGCGATACTCACTTTAGGCAATAGTTTTTGGTTAAGTATCAACGGTTTCTAGAATAGGTATACTTGGACCATCGCCACCGCCATTTACGTTGTTCATTTCACTTGCTTGCTCTTTCTCTAGCGTCTTCTCTTTATCAGCGGCTTTTGTATTGCGACACTCGAAGTTCTTGCATAGTTTGGTCTAAAACAAAATACATCTATCACTATGCTTGCGGACGCACACACTGACTGATTTTATACGTAAAAAAATTGTGTCAGTAAGAAGCATAATGCTGAGTAGCAGCGTACTGAGGACACTAGCCGAGAGACCGGGACAATGCTTTACAATGGCATTGGGTATTGGATCTGATAAATCTTCACGCGCAACTTGTTTATTTTATTAATGAGTGTGTATATTATTACAAATATGTGTGTCATATTGTTATTAACTTAACTGTTATTAACTGCCTCCGTGGCCGAACGGTTACCATGCCGGACTGCCATGCAGAGGTACCAGGTTCGATTCCCGGGCCGGGAGAAATATTTGTATGGCCTACATTTATTTGTCTCGTGAGTTTGGGTGTAATTTGTAATTGTCTATTTGTGTGTCCATGGCACCCGCGACACAGGGTTCCCCTACTGCGGGGCTATGTCGAGTGTGTGCGTTATTATGTTATTATTATGTTATTGTCTTTTATAATTTGTGTGTTTTATAAAGTCACTAACACAGATTTTGTTTGTTGTGTGTTGAATGTTTAAAATAATAAAATTGAAAGTTTGCACTCGTTAGGAATTTGTAATGATAATCTCAGTTGTTATAAATAAGCGCGGCAAAGTCAGAAAAGGCTGTTAAATTTCATGGTCTTCCTTTTACATAAGATGCTATGTTATTTAGAAGAAAACAATCCTTATGATTGAGGCTTTCAGTCAGTATAGTAAAATTACAGGTGTTTTTATTTTTTCCAGGTTCGATTCTCGATTCAGACAGGCTTTTTTTAGTAAAATGTTCTATGTACGGTATTTTTCCTCCGTGTGGCATAGCCGTGGGACACCTTGTATATACTCACCGTGTAGTATAAACTAATAAAACCGATCATTGTGCCAGCCAGCACGTCCCACCAGTGGTGCCGGTGGTCGGACATACGCGAGAGAGCGCAGTACACTGCAGACGCCATGCAGCCTGTTTGTATGGCTCGGATGGCTCGTGTATGTGGTTTGCTGCGTCTGTGGAGGTAATACTGTGGAAACAGAGAAATTATTATTTACATATGCTTGCAGACGCGCGAGTAGATTGCTTCAACGGCAAGATGCGCAAGCGATGCACGTACCTGGTGCACATGGTGCGGGCCAGATCTAATAGCATTTTTGAGTATGATAGCTGCCAGGCTTGATTGCTTATAAATGAATGAATTTTATGAAAACTGGCAATCTTGCAAAAGTCATTTTATTCCGTCTTCAAAAAAATCAGACAATGGTTTGTTATAATTATACATAGATCGAGCACAGAGAAAAATTTACTAGAACCAGCGTATTCAGCATACCAGGCCGACACTCTCCCAACTAAGCTACGGAATGAACCAGCAGACCCTACGAGTTTCTGTAAGTGCTTGTTGCAGATCTTTGTTTTTGTTTTTTTAACGACTTTTTTGCCGTAGCGCCATCTGTGAGAAATCTATAAAACATTTCCTCACCCAGCGTTCTTCTGTGATATTTATCAAACTGAACTCAATACTCACAACGATGAACAAGGCAGCATGCAGAGCCAGCGAGGTGTGTCCTGAGGGAAAGCTGCGGTCAGACTGATTCATCCAATGAGCTTTAGTGCAAGTGTAGCTGGAGACGTAGTCCGAGCTGAAATATTTGAATTTCAAATTTCAATACAAATATAAATTCAAATGCAAACACACATGTAAATGCAATTTTTATAACATCAAGTGACGGGACGAACAAGTCGTGCGCCTGATGGTAGCTACACGCCTATCCATAACAGTTACAGTGCCACTGAGAGCTTTAAATTGCAAAGATCTGAGGGGTACTACCACTGCGCCCGTCATCCTGAGACATAAGTTGAAAAGTCCAATGTGCCTGTAATTTCAACAGCACCCTTACCATTCAAAACCGGAACACAGTAATGCTGACATTAGTGCTTGGCAGAAATAGGCAAGATGGCAGTACTACCCTGGACGAACTCTTTCACAAGGACTACTAAACTACTATTTTCATCATCGTCATTATCAACCCGTTTATTCGTCCCACAGGTGAGCACGGGGTTCATCTCAGGCGAGGGTTGGTGACGTTACATGTTTCCTGAAGGTTGTGAGCCTACTTCGACATGCAGGTTACACCACGATGTTTTTCTTCACCGATAATAAATTACAAAAAACTCAAATTTTATTAAACATTTGTAGGTAACGGCAATGAAAAGCGGGCTTGCTGAAAATTAGCGCTACAGGTTGGATTTTCTGCCCGTAGCTAATAGCTGCGAAGTCTAGTTTGCGTGTGCCGCAGCACGCATTTATTATTATTATTATTATTAAATGTTTAACTCGTGCATTAGTATGCAAATTATTTTTCTGTATCCATATTTGTTGTATTGTTTTGTAGCGATAATACATTTTTTTAACGCACTCATAGCCCCGCACTACGGAAATACTGTATCGCTAGTGCCATGGACACACACATAAGTAGACAACCACAAATTCCAGAGAGAAATTTGTATGGCCTATACTTATTTCTAAATATTTATTTCAGGATTCTCTAGGAAAGTTGATGCACTTTAGTAATTTCTGGCAACTCACTCTTGACAAGTCGTAGCCTCCTTCGGCATGCAAGTATCAAAGAAATGTGGTCTCGGCGAACCGACTATCAACTTCAAAACTTGCACAACAGTCAGATTAAGTACGAATCCATACATGTACTCTTTATACCACCGGAGAGCTCTATTCTTAGGCCGTTGTTTGTCAACATTGTGGTATTTGCGTTCAGTTAGTAACATCTGTAAATTAACATAAATAGTTATTATTATTTATCTTCTACAACAATACTAAAAAGGTATACATTATAAAGGTTACAGAAACACTAAAAACTGTAGAATAATAAATAAATCCAATTTAATATCTATGGTCACTAAAACTATTTTATTTTTGTAATACTCATATTTACACATGATTAAAAAAGGAGGAGGTTTCTAATTCGACAGTATGTTTTTTTTTATATACATATGTTATGTAATTATTCCGGCCGACATTTGTGGACCGATTTTGATGATTCTATTTTTGTTGGAAAGAGGGTGCCTCGGTAGTGGTCTCATTTAAATTTGAATAAAATATTACACATGTACCATAAGGGTGGCAAAGTATACCCGATAGAGGGTGACCAATTTCAATGAAACTTGGCAAATAGATATAATTCCACGAACTTTTCAAGTCGGTTTTTTTTAACCCTGTAGGTACTGAGATTGCCAACAGACTGAATTTCAATTTCATGCTAAATATAGTTCATGTAAAAAAGCAATCAAGGCCTTACATTTAATATTTTAACTCAGTTAAAATCACTGTTATCATCATCCACCCATTTATACGTCCCACTGCTGGACACGGGTCTCCTCTCAGGCGAGGGTTTAGGCCATACTCCGCCTCGCTGGCCCAATGCGGGTTGCAGACTTCATACGTTTTCCGAGGGTATGGACAGGCGTGTCGCTTACCGTCGCGCACGACGTGTTCGTTCCATCACTTGGTATGTTAAAAAAAATACTTACAACAACAAGGGGTAGCAGTATCGTAACAACCATCAGCCATTTCCAGCTGATCGTGTCTCCATTAAATTGGTATGATAATGCAGGGTCATTACAGCGGAACCCAAACTGGCCTCCGGGTATGAATCTTAGCTCCACAAGTAGAAATATTAAAATAACTGGAAAGAGAAAATAAATATATAACGCCACTTGTAGCACAAAGGATTCTAGGGCTACGCTTAGATGAGTTACGCTTCCACATTAAATGGCGAACGGCTATGGAGTGGAATTCCCTGCCTGCAGACTTGTTCCCTTACATGAGGAAATTGAAATAGCATTGGGCTGGATATATCATGAGGGAGACTGGAAAATGTAACAGAGTGGTACCCAAGAGAAGGCAAACACAGACAGGGAAGGCAGATGAAGAAAAAGATGGGAAGATGACTTAAAATTGGTGGCAGGCTCATTTTGGCAACAATAGGTACAGGACAGGGAAAACTGGAAGTTTCTGGAGGCCTACGTCCAAAGATAAGCTGATGTGGATGTAATTTAATTATAGGAAAATGTTTTGAATTATTAATATTGAAACTATTTAAGTATTAATTTTAATTGGAAATTTGTCTATTATTTTTAGCATTTATCTAGGTTTAAGATATTTTATATTTTATAATGAATTGTACTTTCTAATAACAAAGTATACTGTAATATTTGAATTGAATTGTATCAGCAAGAAAGGCTATTATTATGTAAGTAAATTGTAAGTAATTGTAAAATCAATTACTGGTTATTTAACAGTATTAAAAATACAAAAAAAATGTATTTGTATAGTTTTAAAAATAATCTAAATACGAAGATACAATATTTAGGGTTTTAGACATCATAAATTTCATTGAATAAATTGGCAAAAACAAGTGTGACATGGAATTTGATTATCAATTCTCACCTTACACTCAAGCATGGAATGTCGTAAAATTACAGTCTTCCATTAATGAATTTCAATTCAAATTAATTATGAAAACAATTACATTATCATTACATTCTTGTTAGAAATTGGAGATTTATTAAGATTTTACAACGAATTTGAATTTCTCACTATTTAAACATTTTATCTTAATTAGAAATCTTTTCTGATTGCTGTTATGTAAGTGTAAGGTCATGGATTATTTATATATGGAAGATTAAGTGGCCTTTATCTGTGACTGTAATTGAGTGTATGTTGTGTATTTTTGCACAGTCATTTTCATGTTATCTAATAGGTGATAATTTTTCTGTCGATAGAAACATGTTGAGTTACTTAATAGTTTACAGAATGTTTACATTGACTATATCTACAATATCATTATTTTGGTTTTCCATTCTAGATTCTCGCTTCTATAGAGGTAAATTTAGAATTTAGCACAGTTGGCCAGGGTCAGGGATATAGGTCTGACCCTTTTTTTGTTCATAGTGTAATCATGCAATTAGTTGAATCACTATGAGCAGATGGGTTGCGTGATTAGTGGCGTATAAAGTAAACTCCACAGTAGGAGCCTCTCCAATTGTAGACGGATTTTCAAGTTAGTTGTTGTTTCAAGTGTGTATTTCTAGGATTCTGCACCTCTTAAGATGTCTCATTAAGTCAGTTGCCCTGCTAGTAGGTTAGGGTGGTGAATAAGTTGTTTTTTGTACTTGGTAGTGCACTTGGTACATTGTGTAACAGTCTGGTGTCGACATTGAGATGCCTATTTTGTGGTAGACCAAATTTCTTCCTTTACTGTGTTGATTTTTAGGTAGTTCGATTGAACCATTAGGATTAGAAATCAGCTTGAGAATGGAATCTTCGGCTCTTTGTATTATAAGTGCGACATTTTAATTACATGCAGCACCCCAAATGCCATAAGTTTAAGGAATTGGTTTAAGGACAGTTTTATGAGAAACTCATTGTCACAAGACAGCAGACTGAATTTAAACAGCCAGTGTAGCCTGTGAAATTGGATGTTGAGTTAGTCTCTTTTCGTTCGGATGTAATTTTTTTAGGTATGTCTTACAATCCAGATACATTCCTAAGTACTTAATGGAGTTGCTATGCGGAGTTGTTAGTTGCCTAGGTCCAAGATTTAGCAAACAATATAATACCGTATTGCTCAATACTGGTAAAAATTGTAAGAGTGGTCATATTTACAATGAACCTATTTTAGATTCTCTCATTCTGCATGGTGTAAAAGGTAAATTTTGAATTTTAAATGGAGGCAAACAGTATTCCTCAACAATGAACACACGTCTCTGGTGTCAGAAACTCAAGTTGAAAATTATATTTATTATTAATTGGGTGGCTTATACAGGGCTTGTACCGTTTGTTACAGTAATTGCAATTAATCTAGTATGGTCATGGTGATCACCACTCGATGGCAACGTCAACATAATTAAAGTATGGTGAGATTTTACTTTGCCTTCGATTGAAACATTTATAGAAAACATGATTTAAAAAGTAAAATTGCTACACAAAAAACTGCACTTTTTCTTTTTAATTACTTCCAGTTTCGTCTGTCTAAAAGGATAAAAGAACACAAAAAGTAATAAAAACCACGTACCTCTGTGGAAACGGTTGGTCTTCGACCACAAAAACTTGGCTTTATCCAAGATTTTATCCATTATTTTCGCAAAACCTTACGTATTTTTTAATCGTTAGAACTGTTTAAACGTATGCATTAAACACGCGAAAAGTCACGTCGTGACGCACGTATCGCTCGTACTTTAGTAATATAACTAGTGATTGTGATTTCCTATGTTGTCATGATTCATTTCATACTAGCAAATATTACGACATGACGAATAACTACCTACTAAGTGTAAAATTATGTTTTCTCGCTCCGCTCTAAGATTGAGGTTTGGTAAATGTATAATTATATTACAGTTATTGTAATGGCATTAGCAGTTATACCGGCATTTTTTGCTTTCTCACGAAAATCATCGAATATCATGATTTCTCTAAAGTTTTTCGCAAGTGCGTTCTAAACAGTTAAACCATGAAAACTTCTAATATTTATTTCTTACATTTATGTATTTATTTATTTGACGAACACGCAAATTTGATGAATTTACTTCGTAAAATTATAATTGAAGTTGGATTCTTTGATAATAAATAACTTCCTATTCTCGCCGGTAAAATACTTTAGGTATGTACATTACACATTTTATAAAATTTGAATTCGACACAAAAATTAGGTACAAAAATAGAGTTCTCTGTACCAGCTACAAACTAATAAGAGATACTACGTTACCAGCTATGTTCATATCACAAACTAAATGTTCATATAGAGATAGACTTGTATTAGTAGTTTGTGGAGATAGAGATCTCTATATGAACATACCTGTCATTAAGACGTTGACAGTAAAATAGCTATTTATAAAGTTTGATATAATACAACTTAGATGAAATAGAAAAGCGGTCAAGTTCGAGAAATCGAACTCGAATGCGACCGCAAGAAGCGAGTCGGATTCATGTAAAGGGTACCGTATCAAAGCACTTATATACAGCAGATTTAGCACAGTAATAATTAACTTTTTCACCTCACTGCCTCGGAAAGGCTTTCTTTCTCATTGAAAATGTGGGCAAGTGTTTTTGCACGCTAGCGTGGAAAAGATTTTTGAAATTCGAATTTGACGTTACACTGTGGTGCACCTAACTTTTTCTTTCGATGAAAAAAAAAGATAATGACACGTTCAAATACGCGATTTGTCGTACGGACAACAGCACATCTTTTGGTTCGAAAATCGCCTCCAGTGCAACGGAACAAGATACGTCAGTGTGTAGCTTGATGTGCTGTTGACGTACATAGGACATGTATGTAATATATAAATCCGTTGGTTTATTTTATTTTTATTCTTATTATTGTTGACATTAAATTGACAATGACAAGTAATTGTGTTTATTAAATTATTTTAATTCGTCGAAGAATAATATAAAATAATTTCAATAACACAAAATAAAAGTACAAGCAAGAATAAAAATTGGTGAGGAGTAAATTTAGAACGCATCCGAAGAGAAATTTTTGTTATAATTAAAAAAACCGAATGTTTTAAAGTTCAACTGTTTTTCTTTCACTACCATTTTCTTCGCTATAGTCAGGTGAAAAGTTGCGTGTTTCGCTCGACAGCAAAGTACTTTGCGTCTCGTGTCTTGAAACTCTCGTTACGCTCAGAAATCTACGTTTGAATCGATCTTAGCTTTGTTCGCTTGCTCAGGTTTCAATACAAGCACTCGCGTAAAACAATAACTTTACAGCCTTGCATACCAAATAACTATTTATTTGTTTAATTCTCATCTTATTATTTTGTGTGGGAAACAGGAATCATAAAATGCTTGGAACTCATTTAGTTTGCGAGTGGTTTACGTCAATTGACATTTAATTTTTTTAACCACTAGTTTTTATTGTTTCTATTGAAAACAGTTGCAAAACTAAAGGACATTATTTTTTTATTTTGTCTAATTTTTAGTTTAAGTATTTTATTTTTCGAGTTCTTAGGTTTTCGCGATTGTTACACATAGGAAATGAAACTATTTTTCCGGATTTAAATCAACAACAAAGCGAAGTATTTGTACCCGCGTCAAAGAACATATAGCTGATGTCAAACACCGTCGCGTAAACAAGTCTGCAGTCTGCGAGCATGTTCATGGATAAACCTACACATTCAATAAAGTTTGACAAACCCCAGGTCCTTGCAAAAGAAGTCCGTTATCTACCCAGGATGCTGCGAGAGGCCATTGAAATTAAAAAACATCCTAATTTCAACAGGGAAGATGGTTTCTCCGTACCACCAGTTTGGGATCCAGTATTTCCTCTAATGAAAAATCCCAAACAGACATAAGACTGCAGTACTAATTAATATGTTTTAGTTTATTCTAATTTCTATTATTAATTAATAATAAATTGAACTTAATAAAAATTCATTCAATAAAATAATTTGTAAAACTTAATGAAGCGTAAATTGGAATGTTTTCATTGTAAAATTAAAAATAAGGTATTTAATTATAAACTATTGTAGCTATAGTGGAAAAATAGGGTGGTTTGCATCAATATTAGACATAACTGGTTGAAGACTGTATCACCTCAGTCAACCGTGACCATGGGACCTGTGAAGGGCCCGAAACGTCGGTTTGTTTGAAAAAACAAATATACGCGATTTAAATCCGGAAAAATAGTTTCATTTCCTATATTTTATTTTTAATTTTGAAACGTTGCTTGTTCCAAAACATCGTAAGTACCCCTGAAGGATTCCTAGAAGTGTCTGTCGTAGTCTAAAGCTCTTTAAGAAAATCAGTGACAGAAATGTCTTACTGATTGATGTTTGATTTTTGTTTGTGGAGGAGCGTGCGCCTTAGACTATGGAAACTATTATTTATTTTATTTTTTTTCATCCTCTAAGGCGTGCGCGGTTATCAGGATTGTTTACTTGCGATTCTTGTCAAAATATACCTGAAAATATGAAAATTGCGGATGGATTTGTCGTGGCAGATAGCCGAAATCTACCAAAAGTAAATTTATTGATGCTATTGCAGTACATGCGAGAAAACGACTCGTATAACATTGCAGAAATTTGCGGAGCCAAAATGCTGGTTTCGTCTAGGGACTCGTACGTAGAATCCTCTATTGGATTTGTACAATTAAAATGAGACAATGCAATTTGTACCGTAAAGTGCGCCGTGCAACCAGAGCACAGAATCCGGTGTAAACCATACACTGTAGTTGCAAGCATAAATGAATCTGAAGAGGTAATAATAGACTCCAAATGCGAAGATTGTGCGGCTAGTGCTGTTGGATGTAAGCATTCTATATATGTTTTTTGATGTGGCTTATAAAACGTACGGAGGAGCCGGCAGTGACGTCAGTTGCATGTTATTGGTCGCGCCCAAAACTATCCGAAACAGCCACGAAAGACAAGTTTGTTCTGTCCAAGAAAATGGGACTCAAGAGGCCTAGGAAAGTTCCTATGTCTTAAAATGCGATCCCAACCTTAAACTCATTTTTGGCAGAATGCAAAAAAAAGACTGTTTGATGACAAATAATGTGGTGAAATGAATAACGCCGGATACATATCGCCTATTTAACTTAATTTTATACTTCAGAATAACTTACCTCTCAGAGAGATTAATAAGCTTTGAGAATATTAAACATTTTGCTGAAGAAAAATTAACACCACAAGTAAAAAAAGAAATAGAAGAAAGTACTAGATGCCAAACAAATAGTAAACTATGGCACACGTTGAGACAGGGTATCTACATCGAAAATTCATGAAGTCGCTAGATGCAACGCGGATGGGGTTCTTGTGAAAACCATACTAGGTAGATATAAAGTACCAGAGACAAACGCCATTAAACGTGGAAAACGTTTAGAAGTTGAAGTACTAAAAACACTGAAATTAGGAATGAAACTTAATATATCAAGTTGTGGGTTACTGTTAATTAAACCTTTTATTGGAGCTTCACCAGATGGAGTGGCAGATGCTTTCGTTGTTGAAATTAAATGCCCATTCACTGAATAATGAAAAATCGATGTCGTAAAAGACAATGTAATCAATGATAAATATAAAGCCCAAGTTCAATTGCAAATGCATGCTACAGGTGAAAAGAAAGGTCTGTTGCATATCCTAAGTTTGAAACAAACAAAATTTCTTATAATTACTGGCTGTATTACGGCAGATTATATGTCGAAAAATTAATAAAAGGAGAGTGCTTTTGGGAAAAAATTTTATTAGAGAAAATGTTAGATTCTACTAAAATAAAGTAGACAAATCTTTTACTAACCTACCTAATAGTTATTTCTAGTGAAATAGTTCTGATCAGAAGATTTACAATACAATACAATACAAATATTCTTACACGCAAAATAGGCGCTTTGTCGTCGAGTTGCGGATACCAGCCCGTTGCACCAAGTACCAAGTAAGTACAAATATTCTTTACTGTATAAAGGAACATTAGTCAAGATGTATGTAAATAATGAAGTACAATAGGCGGCGTTATTGCTAAAAGCAATTTATTCCAAACAACCTTTGTGTTTGTTAAGTTATACAAATATTTAAAGTAATACTAGATTATCCGAAGGCTGGCCTTAAAATGAACGTAAAAGAAGAGTAAATTCATGATTATCTTCAGATTTTTTTTCAATTTCTGAAGATAATCATGAATTTAGTCTTCTTCCATCTCAATTTCCAGCCCAGCATAAAGTTGTGTTAACAATTTCGAAGAATGGGTGATTGTAGATTAATAAGACCACAAGCCACTATAACTGCACCATCCAATGATTTAAGTAATTTATTATTTACCACTGAATGTGGTTTCCAAATCCTGTACAATCTAACCCTTCTAATCACCTTTTCTATATGTACTTTTAAACTCGCAATTATTTTGCTTTCTACAGCTTCTGCGTTTGTAATTTTGCAGTGTTTGGTCACACTTGGGAGACGTAAAATTTTTACATTTTTTTTGCCTAGGTGAGATTCTAAATATTTGGGATTGCAAACTATCGGCTAAGATAGCACAGTTTTCTGGCACCGTTTCTAAAAACCACTTTGCGCCACTAAGTTGATGTCTGATATGCGACCACCATAACCTTCGGATACGAAATTTATGAAGCCACCACGAGTTGAACTTA